CCATCAAAAAGAAGCTAAATCATTGCCTTGCAACCAACCCGCGTTTCCAATTTTGTATAACTCCTCTCTTTGCCCACTTTGCTTTTAAACCCTTGCTTATTGCAACAAAATTGTTTGCGATATACAATATCATCCTTCTTCTTTCTTGACCTGAATTTTCTAACTCCAAAACCATGTCTCTTCGCATATGAATTGTAGAATTTATAAGCATCTTCCAAGGAATTAAATTTCATCCCAAGCAATTTTTCATCATCGATATCTACAAAATATGAATATGTTCCGTTAAGAAATGAATATGTTGAGTTAAGAAGTGAACATGTATATATTCCATATCGAACTTTTCCAAAACAGAGAGAATAAACGCCTGTTTAATATATGAACATGTTCAATAACTAAATGAACATACTTATATAGAAAATGAACATGTGTAAAAACAAAATGAAATGAACATGTTAAAAACCAAATGAAATTTTTCTACAAAATGAAATGAACATGTTTATATACAAAAATGAACATGTTTATATGAGTATCTTGCATTATGAAATGAACAATGTGATTGTAGAATGAACATGTTTTCTAAATTACCTGCACCTTCACCCGTTTCAACCACAGATTATTAGTGTCATCAATGGATATTACCGTGGTTTCATTACAATCAACATGTTCATCGTCTTCATCAATCGATATTACAGCAGTTTCATTAAAATGAACATGTTCATCCTCAAATAAAGAAATTGTTTCCGGATTGCAAGACCCAACTACATTTTGTTTCCAGATTGGAAGACCCAACTACACTTCCATCTTCAAAATCAACATGTTCATCGTCTTCATCAATCGATATTACAGCGGTTTCATTAAAATGAACTTGTTCATCCTCAAATAAAGAAATTGTTTCCGGATTGCAAGACCCAACTACACTTCCATCTCCAAAATGAACATATTCATTATCCAAATTAAAATGAACATGTTCATTTTCATGATTACAAAACCCAGGGGCTACGTCTAGATCTTCTAATATCACCATCGGAAAATTCAGTTTTGCAGAAGAAAAAATCGAGAATCGCCTTCAAAAGAGAAGAGTTTGAGTGAAAGAGGATTTTTGCCTTGAAAAATGAGCCCAATTTTGGCGGAAGTAAGTCCAACTTTTTACCGCCTTTTTTCTCTCGTTCTCTCTCTGCGCGTGGGCCGGAAATTGGACAACAATTTCAATTTAAAGCCACTCTCTTTCTTTTTTTTTTACGTACGTTCACTCTTGGCCCTGGCACACCTAGCAAGGTGTGCCAGGGCACACCTAATTATTTGTGCCAAATCCTACCCTTCGCCATTCTTTTTTGCGTGTTCCTTTATTTCAGGCTTTCAACATATTTCTTTTCGTCCGGATATCGCGCAGAAAATCTGCTTCAAGCTTTCTTTTATTTTTTCTTATTTCCCGAAAATCACTCGCTCTTCTTTGTTTCCTTTTCTTCTTTTCACCATTATTGTATAGATACCAATTCTCTTTTATCTCCTCTTCAACCTCCTCAGCTCCCGTTGAGTCGGCTGCTCGTGGCCACCGCGTAGAGTTATAGAATTCCGGCTATATCGAGACCCTGAGCTCTCAAAAATATGTGTAAACCCAGCGAACTTGGCACTAGGTTAAGAATAATTGCTGTTTGGTGCATTAAGTATTGATTACTGAAACTAGAATTGAAATTGCATTTGTTTAGTTGCCCTCTGAGTTTGTAACCATAATTAAATTGTTAATGTGGCGTTTTTGAAATATTTCTACCTTCTTTACCTATTTTTTGGACCTGCCTAACCCGCCAAGAGTCCCCACTCGGCAAGTTTTGATTGCTCTAGATATAATAGTTCATTGGCTCTCAAACTAATTCAACCAGTACTCTTAACATAGGCTACCTTATCAGCCGCCTTACTATTAGCACATTTGAACTAGCCAATAACTTTTCTCGGCTCCTAAAGGTTGAAGTTTGACTGGTGAGAGGTTACCAATGGAAGCTGAGGTGGTACTTGCCTCATCTCCGACAGACAATGGTGTTGGGTGTTGGGACCTCCACACTGGTGCTGAGATTCTCCGCCACAGGTCGCCAACCCTTCTCACGGCCACATCTGTGTCGCCGGCCATTTCATCACTTCTTCCCACCTCCGAGATGGCCAGCCTTCTTCTGGATCAATTTTCTATTGGTCTTGGAACAAGGTAAATATTTATTTGAATTAAGTTGCCCCCACAATAGTTAATTTCCTGTGTCTACGTTTTATTTGATGGTGATGTTAATTTTGGTTTTTGGATGATAGATTTGGAATGTGGCTTTCTGATTTGGGAAAGATAAAGCAATAATCAGTTTAGTTTGTTTTACATTTTGTAGCCTCAGATTGAAGTGAGGAGCTTTCCAGCAGAACTTATAAAGCCTCTTGTTTCCAACAGTCAGGGAACTTATATTGCTGGAGGAGGTGTTTCAGGGGATGTATACTTTTGGGAGGTAGATTATTTATTTTAAATATATATCTCATTTTCTTAGTCCTACAACATTTCTCATGATTTTTGTCATTCCCTTCACTGTGTGATTGCAGGTTGCAACTGGGAAATTGCTAAAAAAAGTGGCATGCACATTACAAAGCTGTTAGCTGCTTGGTATTTAATGATGATCAGTCACTTTTGATATCAGGGTCGGAGGATGGAAGTGTTCGTGTTTGGTCACTTTTCCTGTATGATTCCTACTGTATTTACTTATGAAGGCGAATGGTAAATGAGTTCTTAATTTAATGATTTTGGATTTTGTCACTTTTAATGATTTTTGGATTTTGTAACACGTCGAGCTCCAGAGGCTGCTAGACTCTGGCCACACCATCGCCAGGCCCAACGGCGTCTTCATCAACGGGTAGGGGCAGGCCACCATCTTACCCATGACCCCCGCCCGACACCACGACTCAGAGTCTGCGACTTTGGCTACTCCAAGGTTTTTATATAACTAGTATCGACCCTGTGCAATTGCACATATGTAAATATAGTATTGTTAGTAATTTGTATGCATATAATGATTAATTATTTTTTTTCATCTTTTTACTGGCCAAATTTACAATTAAAGGATTTGGAATTTTTTTTTTAAATTATGTTTATCTGATTGGATGTAATGTATATTTTGCTACGTCTTTTTTTGTGAATTATTTGTTATTTATTTAGAAATTTCAAATACATTTTTCATTTTAAAAATTAATTTACATGTAACCACTAATAACATCTAATCACATTACACAGTCAACACATTGTATGGTCAACTGTCAGTAATCAAAAGTTTAAAAATGTTTTTTGTAATTTTGAAGTGATTAGTGTTGATTATTGAATAATTAAATGAAAGATTAAATATATCAAAAGTAACGGTTTTTGGAGGGAAATAGTTAAATTGCCACATAGGTAAAATTAAATAGGTTTTATTAAATGTTATTAACTAGTAATTATATATATAGATTAGAGACGTATGGGCAATTTTTCATACATATTAAGCTAAATTTATAGTATTCTCCTTTTTATACTTTCAGATGTTCAAATTCTATGCTTAAGACCAATTCATTTTTTCTTTATATATAATCTACTCTGTAATTCTGCATCCCTAATCAAAATCTACCGTTGTCACGACAGCCTACATTGCACCGGAAGTTCTATCCCATTCGGAATGTGATGGCAAGGTATGCATGATTTATATATGAAAATTATGTATTGTGTTTTTTGAGTTATATAATTCATAATATGATTCCTTAGTTGAAGAAAATTTGCCAGATTAATGGTCTTGTCTTGTGGAGTTACTTTATTTGTGATGCTGATGGGAACCTACCCTTTTGAAGATACAGATGACCCTAAGAATTTCAGAAAAACAATTTCAATAAAGTGTTACTCAATTAGTGCACTACACAAAAAAAAAAATGATCAAATTTATGCATACAATAATGGCTGCTGAGTACAAAATACCAGACTACGTTTACATGTCTCAAGATTGCAGGCTCCTCCTCTCTCATATTCACTACAAGAAGCTGGTGGAGATCAAGGGTTCCCGGTCCCATACGGTGTGGAACGTGTACGATTTCCTTGACGTCCACCTCGGCCAGTGCTACTCTGCGCTTGTCACTGCCAACGAGGCACCCAAGGAATACTGCACCCCACACGTCACTCAACCACCACTTGACCGCTGATGCTTGTCGTGTCTCCAATATCACACTGTATTCCCCGCCTCCCTTATCAATACTCAAATTCTGACATTATTTGGATTTTCTTTCTCTTTTTTTTTTCACAAAATAAAAATGCAATCTTGAAAGTAAAATTTGTTCAAAGTGAGAGTTGGAACTCATTTTGTAGTAGGAGTGCTAAATAGCCATTTCACTGTGCTTTAACTATTGCAAAGTGCTTGATCATCTAAGAATATGGGTTTGATGAGATTTGAGAATTATCGAATTTGTTTCGGCATTTAAAGTGAGTGTTCTTGGGAGAATGTCTACATATGTTATTGATTGAATTGAACAAATCAGTTGTTTGTTGAGGATACCGCCTAGAATGGTATACATACAAATCAAGGTTTGTATGTTCAATATCAATGTGTATAAATCCGCCTTATGGTAGTGGATTACAAATGTACTAAATTTCTGCCTATATGTTCATTTCTTTATTTTGTTGTAACAATTGCACAGTGCTTGAACATATGTCAATATAGTTCTGATGAACTATGAGAATTATCGAATTTGTTTTCGGTGTTTCAAGTGATTGTTAATGGAGAATATCTAATATATGTTAGTAAGACTGCCTAATTTTAGCAAACAAATCAGGTTTTGTTCACACTACCGCCTAGCGTGGGATATATACAAAACCCATTGAGTTTTTGTACTATTGCTATGATATTGACGGCACCGCTCGAATCTTGAGTAAATGCATTGGCGATGTTTCTATTCGGACGTTCAATATTGTTATGTATCAATTGAAGCAAAATAAGCTCCACTAATCGAAGAAAAGCAGATCAACTATAGCCTAATCTGCAAATTCCTGCTCTCAAACAACCTTAAATGTTTCATTAAACAACAATAGAGTTAAAATATTATCGAGCTCGCCGTTTGTTCGTCGTTTGAACTTTTTCGCTCTTCGTTCCTGGAGCTTGGCTGGTTTGATTGAGGTTCTTCAGAAAAAGTAGTGACCAGAAATTGTTGAACTTACATGTGTTTTTCCTTTTGCACGCAATAGTTGATTAAAGCCATTGCTCCTCTGGCGGGGAGAAGAGGCTC